TTTTTTTTGTGCATTCCTTCCAGGTTGAGAGCCCGCGACCCACCCCGTGACCAACTCGCGACCAACCCGCGACCCAAACCACGTTCAGGGTACAAACCACATTTTTCGGCGCCTGCGGCGGGCATCTTTTGCATTCGTTTCAGGTGGAGAGCCCGCGGCCCACCCGCGACCACGTTCAGGGTACAAGCCACATTTTTCGGCGCCTGCGGCGGGCATCTTTTGCATTCGTTCCCGGTGGAGAACCCGTGGCCCACCCGCGACCCAAACCACGTTGAGTGTACAAACCCATTTTTGTTGGCGCCTGCGGCGTGCTGCTTTTGCATTCCTTCCAGGTGGAGGTGGAGAGCCCGCGACCCACCCGCGACCTAAACCGCCGCTGGACTCGCTTCGAGAATCTGCTCAGAGCTCACCCGGGGAGAGGTCTGGGGAGTAGCGGTTTCGGCACCTTTGGGTTTCCGCAGTTTGGGTCCTCACCACCCCTCCCGCACCCCCTGCGCACCTCCTGCGTCCCCCTCTCCTCGCCCTCCCCCCCCCCTCGAAGCAGTGGGCAGGACGGGAGCCTGGAGCAGCCCCGATGCGGAATTTGAGTGGGCGTTTGTGCTATTGATTCTTCGAGGCCTCCTAGGTGGGGTCGGAGGACCTCGCCGCATCGCCGATGCGTCGGCGATGCATCACCGATGCATCAGCGATGCATCGGCGATGTACCAGCGATGCATCGTCGACGCGGGCGATGCATCGACGGCGCCGACGCGAAGCAACTCGGGCTCCGCATCGAGCCGCATGGCCGATGCATCGCCGATGCAGCGCGATCCTCCGACCCCATCTACTCGGACCCCACCCAGGAGGCCTATAACTTTTCATCGTCGAACTCGTCCTCAGGCTCACGCTGCTGCTTCTCCTTTTCCACCATCGTATCCTGCCCCGTCCACTTTTTGCTTCTTCCCCCCCTCGTGCCAGTGACTTAAACTGGCCCTCTTCCTCGTGCGATCCTCCACCTCACCCTGCACTTAAATCGGGCACGTCCCCCTACAGGAGGAATTTAAAAAATAGTCCAAGAATATTCGGGGGACGATTTTTTGAGTGTTTTTTTTATATTTGGGAATATGTTTGGGGTATTTGCTATTGTTCGTCCAAAATTCCCTGTAGGGGAGCATGCCCGACTTCCCCGGAGAAGAAACTATCCCGGCGAAGGACCCAACGCTATGCAGCTGTGCGTGCCGCAAGTGTGAGTATCTTCTTCGGTAGCGATCCCTAAGGGGCCACGAATAGCATGAGGGCTGTGCCGGGGCCTTCGGTGGAGCTCCCTGTGGGGCCACGGAACATGTGAGGGGTGTGCCGAAATGGGTGCGGTGGGCGCATGCGAACGCGTCCACTCGGGCCTTCGGTGGAGCTCCTTGTGGGGCCGCGAAGCGTGTGAGGGGTGTGCCCAACTGGGTGCGGTGGGCGCATGCGAACGCAGCCACTGGGGCCTTAGGTCGAGCTCCCTGTGGGGCCACGAAACGTGTGAGAGGTGTGCCGAAAAGGGTGCGGCTGGCGCAAGCGAGCGCAGCCACAGGGGCTTTCGGTGGGGCCCCCTGTGGAGCCACGAAACGTGTGAGGGGTGTGCCGGAATGGGTGCGGTGGGCGCATGCGAACGCAGCGACTGGGGCCTTCGGTGGAGTTCCCTGTGGGGCCACAGAACGTGCGAGGGGCGTGCCGAAATGGAGAGGAGAGGAGAGGAGAGGAGAGGAGAGGAGAGGAGAGGAGAGGAGAGAGGGCGGCGCTTCTGTGGGAGGAGGGAGGAGGAGGGGGAGGAGGAGAGGAGAGGAGTGACGCGGGGCACTGTCTTTTCAAACGAGGACCCAACACCACAGGATGGTAGGGAAAAAACACCATGAACACAATCTTGTTGCGCTCCGCGCGGATTTCTTAGATCTATGCTTGGGCCCCAGCGGCGCCTCCGCCGCCGCCCCTGGCGCTCCGCGCGCCAGGGAGGGGACCAGCGCGGATCCAAGAAAACCGCGCGGGGCGCCAACAGTTTTTGTTGATGCCGTTTTTCTTCTATGCCTCCGGCCTGCTAACCCGTCGTCTTCCTCGCCCTCGCCCTCGCCAGCGAGCTGCGCGGGAGAGTGGCACACAAGGGGGGCTGCTCTCGGCCGCTCGCCCAGCCGGCCTGCGCCCAAGAGGTGCCGCGTGAACACCTTCGGCGCGGAGAAGGAGGCCTTCGGCCTCGACGCAGACTGGACGAAGCTGAAGCTGGCTGTCAGGCGGACGGGGGGGGGGCGGGAAGCATCGAAGAACAACAAAACACGGGGGGGGGGAGCATCGAAGCGGACGGACGGGGGGGGGGAAGCATCGAAGCAAAACGTATCGAAGCGGACGAGGGGGGGGAAGCATCGAAACAGAAAAACGTGGGGGGGGGGAGCATCGAAGGGGACGGACGGAGGGGGAAGCATCGAAACCAAAAACATCGAAGCGGACGAAGGGGGGAAGCGTCGAAGAACAAACAACACACGGCATGAACATATACTTTTGTGGGCGCTCCGCGCGGATTGCTTGAACCGCGCGGGGCAGCCCCCTGGCGCGCTCCGCGCGCCAGGGAGGGGGGTCCAGCGCAGATCCAAGAAGTCCGCGCAGAGCACCAAAAGTTTTTGGAGGCCTGGAAATGGGCACCAACACCAACACAAGGGGTTGCCTCCACAGGGTGAAGATGATCCCAGAATATCACCACCATCACCGAGATCGGGATCTTCTTCCCTCGGTGGAGGCACACCGCCGAAATTGGTGTTGAAGTCAACCTCTAGGCCTGCCAAGTTTCTGCTTACGCCGCTGATTCTTCTTCCAAAGCAGGGCCCCACTGCGATCCAGTTCCATGCGATTTGATTCCCCGGCTTGGCTCGCGATTCCGATGCGCTTCGATTCGGCTCGATTCGGCGGCACCGGCCGGGGCCAGCCGCAGCCGGGCGCGGCGATGGGATTTCGATCCGTTTTGGGGCGGTTCGTTGGCGATCCGAGCCGTTCCCGACCCGATCCGATTTCGCGATTGGATTTGGTAAGGGCCTGGGACAGCTGCCGCCGTCGGCGGTGCGCATCACGGAAAACTGCCATGTGTGGAGAATCGGAGAAACGTCAGATTTGAGTCAGCCAGAACTCGGTTTTGCTGACGTTTTTTGACGAGCGCCTCCTGGATTTTGACTGTCCAGTTTCCGTGTGATGTTTGCAGCGGGAGATCGCGTCAAGTTTCAGATTGGGTCTCGTCATTTTCATGATTGCCCCATCAGGCCAACCCGAGTCCCCCGTACCCGAGTCTTACGTCTCCCCGAAAGAAAACACATGGATCAAGGCACGTCGATTAGCGGCGGATCCCCGCATCATTCCAAACCAGCGCGGTCCGTCGCCAAATCCGGCGGTATTGGCGCTATGTTTCGGTTGTTACGCTCCCCGGCCGGTGGATCCGGCGCCCACGGGGCGGCAAGTCGAGCGTGTCCCTCTACAGGATAATCTTTCAAGAATGGCACAACAATAGTATTGGGACAATGTTTCGAATATGTCTTATCATGATTTTAGAATTATTTTGATCAGCCAAAATACGCTTGGGGGAGGACTCCAGGAGGACATGCCCGACCTAAGATTAGCGTGTGTGCCCGATTCTGGTGGCCGCTTGGAGGGTCTTGTGGCCGCTGCTGGACGCGGCTCGGAAAACTACGATAGGTTCGTGTCGTGTCGACCGGCGGCGACCCAGCCTTCGGCGTTCCATGTTGATTGTCGGTGGCGGCTTAGAATCGGTCGAAGTTGAAAGATTTGACGTTTCGGACAGGGCTGATCGTTCAAGGTTGAAAGGTGCCCGCGGTGTCAGAAACCAGCGCCGAAGTCGGCACGACACGAACCTGCCGTTCCAAGGTGGCTCCAGGGAGGGTTCCTGGGGCTCTGCTCTTCAGGAGGGGAAAGAACGCGCAGCCACACTCAGACGTCGGTTTCCAGGGAGATATGGGGCAGCATGGGGTTTGGGGGGGAAGACGAAAACCTAGAGCATGTGGGAAAATCGTGCCGAACGAAGGGGGGGAATAGGGAAAGGGGAAGGTTCGAAATCTGCTGCACGCAGCTGGCTTCGGCCCCGCCGCCGGGCCCATTCCTCGATGCATGGGCGCTTGCCGGCGCTGGGAGGCGCTGGGAAAATCAGCTACGTGAGCTGATTCTCAACCCCCCCTTAGCCATCCCCCCCTTTCGCTGGGCCCGAGAAGACGAGAACCCAGAGCATGTGTCTGCACGACTGAAATGGGCACGGAAAGAATGGGTACAATGCCCAACAGCGGATCTTGTCCATTTTGAACAAGACGCGCTGTCCACGCCGCCGCGGCCTGTGTCCATTCGAGACAGAAGGCCGCCTGCCCAACAGCGGCCGCTGTTGGTTTGGGACAACATTTGTTGTTGGGCATTGTACCCATTCTTTCCGTGTCCATTTCGGGCGTCCAAATCTACAGTGAAGTCGGCCCTGTCCCTCCACAGGGGGGAAGATTCAAAAATAGTAAAAAGTACTCTGGGAACGATGTTTTGAGTATTTGTTTGCCATTTTGGTGCATTTTTGTGTATTCTTAATTTTTCGTCCAGAATCCCCCTGTATGGGGAAAGGCCCGACTTAACTCTACAGGAGGAATACTCAGAAATAGTAAACAAATAGTCTGGAGACAATGTTCTGATTAGTTGTTGATGTTTTTGAGTTGTTGTTGGGTTTTTGTTTTCCTGTTTCGCCCCAAAAAACGCATGTCGGGGGACAGGCCCGACTTAAGGCTCGGGGGTCTCCTGGAAGCCCTCCCGCCTGGCAACGAGCCTCTCTGGAGGCCCCCGACGCCTTCGACGAGGCCTCCCTGCCTCGAAGAAGGCCTCAGAGAAGGGAAAAGTACCCATACCTCTACCCTTCGTCCGTTGTCCCCTTGTTGGGCCTCCTAGGAAGCCCTCGTCGCCACCGCTGGATTCGCCTCGAAATTCTTCAACTCTTCGCGTATCCCCACCCCAGCCCATCTCAAAGCAGCGAAAGCGAAGCATGCCGACATCGTGTTTGTGGCGTCCGCCTGCCCCCGCATATCTCCCCTGTTCCTCCCTCCTCCTCCCGCTTCCCTTGTACATCCTCCTTGTGGTGGGAGCGGGAGAAGGACGAGGCGGAGGAGGAGGGAGAGAAAGCGCTCCTCGTGATTTGAGTCGTTTGGGGCTTCTCGTCCTGGTGTGAGTCGTTCGGGCCCTTCTTCCTGGTGTGAGTCGTTCGGGCTCTTCGTGGTGTGAGTCGTTCGGGCTCTTCGTCCTGGTGTGAGTCGTTCGGGCTTCTCGTGGTGTGAGTTGTTCGGGCCCCTCGTCCTGGTGTGAGTCGTTCGGGCCCCTCCTCCTGCCCGTCCAGAAACGACGCCCAGGCGAGTAGAGGGTCGTCCTGATGGGCTTTTCGGCGTCTTGGGTGCCTCGGGGGGGCCTCTTTGGGCCGTTTGGGATCTTCTTGGGGGCCTCCTGGGGGCCTCTTGGGGCCATCTTGGGGCCTCTTGGTGCCTCCTGGGCGCTTCTTGGGGCCATCTTGGAGGGAATCGATCAAAGAAGAGGGGAGCTTTGATGAGCGCTGCCCCCTCAGAAGGCCAAAATGGGGCCACAACCTTCGTAAAATCAATGATTTTGCCTGGAAAGAAGAGGGAAGCTTTAATGAGCGCTGCCCCCTCAGAAAGAGAACATGGGGCCAAAACCGTAGTAAAATCAATGATTTTGGCTTCAAAGAAGATGAGAAGGTTTTTCTGGGCCCCCCCGTCGGGGCCAGAATCCTCGTGAGGGGTGTCGTTTTTTAGCCCTCCCAGGAGTCGAAAATGACCCCCCCAACGACCCGCGAAAGGACCTCTCCAGGCCCAGGGGGAGGGGGTAGGGGGAGGGGTAAACCCTTCCCCGAAGGGGAAGAAGGGGGTTGAGAACAGAGCGGGCTCTCTAAACCACTCACGCCCAAAGGGTCGTCGCCACCGCTGGATTCGCCTCGAAATTCTGGTCAGAACGCACCACGGGACAGGTCTGGGGAGTAGCGTTAAGTCGGGCCTGTCCCTCTACAGGAGGAATATTCAAACATTGTTAAAACATAGTTTGGGGACTATGGTTTGATTATGTGTTGGCATTATTGGAGTATGTGTGGGGTATTTTTAACTGTTTGGCCCAAATCCCCCTGTAGGGGGACAGGCCCGACCGAAGGGTAGCGGTATCGATACCTTTTGGTTTCCCCACCCTTGTTTTGAAGAAGACCGACCCCTCGCTAGAGATGGAGAGAGGAGGAGGAGTACTGTGGAAACCCCTGCCAAGGAGGAGTACAGCGGAAACCCTTAGATTTCTTGGGCTTCGATTTTTTTTGCGACGTTCCCACACTTCAAATCAATGGACGTCCTGGGGTCTCAGGGTTGGGTTTCTTGTGAAAGGTTTTTTGTGGTCGAGCTCCTACTGTAGGAGGAGCAGCGGGATGGGAGGCTCATGATAGGAGGATTGAAAGTATTGTCAGTATATTATTTCAGTTATCGGAATGTCCTGCACTTTTCTAGTGATGTGCAGCTTTTGGAGCTGCTCTGGGCCTCACTGGGAAGAGGAGGAAGGAGGGAGAGGAATGGAGGATGCAGGCCAGGGCTGGGGATGAGGAGGCATGCCAGGACGAGGACGGGGAAGAGATAGCCAGGACGGGGAGAGGAGGAAGGGAAAGGACCAGGACGAGGAGGGACGAGGAGGGACGAGGAGGGGGGATAAGGGAGGAGCAGGACGACGAGGAGGGAGACCACGACGAGGATGACGGAAGACCGAACCGCCGGGAGCTTGGCGGCAGGGACGGCGTCGAGAGGGCCACGCGGTGGACCTTGGAGCCCCGCACGAAGGCCGTGGAGGTCACAGGCCCCGCCCCATGCGCTCGCCGCCAGGAGGAGCGGAGGAGGAGGAGGGTGGAGGCAGGGGTAGAGTGAACGGTGCAGTCGCGAGCTCGAAGGTGTTTTTTTTCTGCGCAGTGGTTCCTGCGTAGTGGATGCTGCGCAGCTTCCTCGTAGTGTGTTTGCTTCGTGGTGTGTGTATGCGTGTGCGCCGTGGTGCTAGCTTCGCGGTGTTCGCTTCGTGGTGTACCCTCCGTGGTGTACCCTTAACTTAGTGGTGTGTCCTCTGTGGTGCTTTCTCAGCGGTGTGTCCTCCATGGCGTGTCCTCCATCGTATGTCCTCCGTGATGTGTCCTCCGTGGTGTGTGTCTTCCGTGGTGGTTTCCCAGGGTGTGTTCTCCATTGTGTTTTCTCCATATTGTGTCTCCCGAAGCGCGTATTCCGCAAACTTGTTCCGTGGTCTATTTTGCGTTTTGTGCCTACGATGGGTTGTCCGTGTTGTTTTCTCCGCGGCTCCGCGGTGGATACTACGTTGTGTACTATCAGTGGTCTCTTCTGTTGTGTTTTCTTCGCTGTGTTGTCTACCAGTGCTACCGCGTCAAAGAATGCGTGCAACACACGGCGTAGAAAACATTGCGAAGAAAACACCAGAGACAACACCTCGTACAAACAAACAACGCTGTGTAGAAGCCACTGCGTAGAAGACGCACACAGGAGAAACCATCGCGTAACACATGGACCGCGTAGAAAACTCCGCGTAGCAAATATTGCGGAGAAGACGCACACACAAGAACAAAAATGCGTAACACAACGCTGCGTCGGAAGCACGACGCGGAAAGTATCGCGTAGAAAACACTATGTAGAACATGCCGCGTACAAAACATTCATTGGAGAAACCACCGCGTAGAATAATACAGGACCGCGTGGAAATCACCTCGTGTAACACATTGCGTAGAGAACGCGCACTCGAGAAAACAGGGCGTACAACAAGACACGGCGTAGGAAACACGAAGACACAGGGGACATACACCGCGTAGATAGCATTGGGTGAAACGGCGGCGTAGACAGCATTGCCTACTTAACACGGCGTTAAAACATTGCGTAGAAACGCCTTCGGGTCATAACTTATTTGATCCTTTTTGTGGGCGCCCAGAGACTGCGCGGAGCTTGCGGGCGTGGGCTCTGCTTCTGGGAGAAGCATGTTCCTGTCGCGGGGAGGCTACAAAAGTGGCTTGGGCCAGCCTTCCCGTTCCTTGCAGCCCTGGCAAGTTTCTCCACCGTTTTCCCAGCTCCGGCGACCTCATCCCAACTGTTTTTGGTTCTTTCCTGTCCCGGCCAGTGTTTCCAGCCCTGGCCACCTCCACATTCCGTGAGTGTCACTGGACGTGCAGGTTCCACTTTTTCCGGCTTCTCTGTACCTTCCCCTCGTCGCAAATCCGCTCGAAGCTAGTCTTTGCACTGCCCCCTGGGCGCCACGCCGATCTGCCATCCAGGCCGCGTCAAGGCTCGGCGACGGCCCCCCGAGGACCAGAAGAGAAGGACGGAGGATGAGGAGGAGGGGGCGCATGACTCAGGAGGGAAAAAATACACAGACACAATCAATCGTCGATTCCCTTGAAAATACGGGAAGTTGGGGGGAAGACCAAAACCCAGAAAACATGGGAAAATATATAGGGAATCTGGTTATTTGTGTCTATTTGTTTGTGTGTCCCAGTTTCCCTTCAACGAGGGGGCGCATGACGGCCCCCTCACGCTCCCCCCGACAGCACTCGCGCCGCCCGCAAATTTTCTGCAGAGGAGCAGCTCTGGCTCGGTGCGCCGACGGCGAGCCCTGAGAAGACCCAGGCCTTCCAGATGGCTTGGTATCGCTCGGACGTGTGCTTTTTTTTCTCGGCGGGGATTATTAAGGAGCATCCTGGATCATTCTGCGAAAAAACTACGCACGAAACAAAAAACACAGGGAATGGACGTCCGAGCGACGGGGAGATGGGGTCCGATTGGATGGAGTCGGAGGATCGCGTCGTATCGCCGATGCAGTGGCGATGCGGCTCGATGTGGAGCCCGATTTTCTCTACGCCGGCGTCGCCGATGCATCGCCGAGGCATCGCCGACGTCGCCAGTGCATCGCCGATGCGTCCCCGATGTGTGGCCGATGCAGCGGCGATGCGGCGCGACCCTCCGACCCCATCTTGTCGGACGCCATTTGGGAGGCCTCTGGAAAATCCCTCCACCTCCTCCTCCTCCTCGTTTTCGTCCAGTGGCGCCCCTGTGTTGTCCTCGTCGGCGTCAGTACTCGGCCAGAAGACCGGCTCAAGGTCAGTCCCGGGGCCCTTCCGGGGGCCAGCCTGGCCGGTCTCTCGAGCCGCGTCCGGCCGTGGCGACGAGGACCTCCAGAAACGCGAAACATCGGGCGAAGCGAAACGTCGTCGATCTCGTCGTCGTCGTCGTCGTCGTCGTCGTCGTCGTCGTCGTCGTCGTCGTCGTCGTCGTCGTCGTCGTCGTCTCGTCTGCAGACAAAGCACCAGCCCTCCCACGGGATGCGTTCCGACCAGAGTTTCGAGGCGCATCCTGGGCCCGTGTTCGGCCCATGGGCGCTTTCCGTGTGCTTTGGGGGGGGCTCTTCTGGGCCAGGCGAGTCCGCTGGCATTTCCTGCCCCCGCCCCACCTGAAACGGCTGCGGCGCCCGAGGCATCCTCCAGCGTCGCGGAGTTCAGAGTCCAGCTCCGTCCGAGGCATCCTCCAGCGTCGTGGATTTCAGAGATTCTCAACGTATCTTCATCCGATGTTATCCTCTTCGTGGCTTCGTTGTACCAAACCAGCCAATCCGCGCTCCTGGATAGGAAGCCTCCAGGGGTCGGCAAGTTCGCGTTGTCGCAGCCGTCGCTCTTTCGAGTGATTGTCTTATCGCATTCTTATGGCTGGACCACTTCTCTTTGGACGTGGTGACGAGGTCCTTCAGAAACGCTCAAAATGTTTAAACACATCGTCATCATCGTGCTCGTTCTCGTCATCGTTTTCTTTTCCTTCGTCGTAGCCGTCGTTTCCTGCTTCGTTGTCGTCGTCGTTTCCCGACCGAAGAAGGCTCGAAATTCGTCTCCGATATTTGCTGGGGTCCGTGCTGTTTGTCGAGCCGCGCCCCCAGCCGTGGCGACGAGAGCCTCAGCGAAGCCGTCTTCGTCGTCGCCGCAGCCCCCGCCGTCTTTCTCGCCGCCGTCGCGCTCGCCTCCTCGGCGCCGTCGCCGCCCGCAAGTGATCGCCTTCTTCGGGACGGACCACTTCGCCCTGGGCGTGGAGTGCCCCGAGCCCGACGAGGGCGACGGGGTGGCCTTCCCATGGGCGCGCCTCGCGCGCCCCGGCATGGAGGCCCCGAGCCGCCGGCTGCGGCTCCGCCGTCGACGTCGCCGGTCGGGGTCCGCGGGTCGAGGTCCCGAGGGCGGGTTTTGGCGGGCAAGGCCTGCCCTCTGTGGGCCCCGGGAACGGCAGGGCCGTTGTTTCACCGTTTCCGAAAAAGTGTCCCTTGGAAAGTGGAGACGGCAAAAAAAACAGCGGCCGGAAACGGCACAAAAACGGCTGCAGGATTGGAACCGGAGCCGCAACCGGTCAAAAAACGGCGACGGAGCCGGTGAAACAACGGCGTCGGAACCGGCAAAAAAACGGCAAAACGGAACCGGTAAAAAAACGGCCCTGTCGTTTCCAGGGCCCACTGAGAGCCTGCCCACTTCTGGGACAGTATCGCGGGCGTCTGCCGAATACAACACGCACGTTCTAGCCACAAGCGTCTGCACACTCGGGGTGGAGCGGTCGCTGCGCTTGGCGCAGCACATCAAGGTCGGAGAACGGGTAAATTTGATCCGTTTGCGGTAAGTTCCCTACAGATGCCAGAGCAGATCCCACATTGCTCTCCAAGGATGGACGTCTTCTCGCGCTCTCGGCCTTCTCTGTGGCCTCGGGAGGCCTACCGAAAGCTCCCCGCGGGGACCACCGGGGGCATCTGGCGTCGTCGTCCTCCTCTTCCTCCTGGCGCGGCTCTTCGACCTGCGCAAGCTCCACCACCTGATCCTCTCTCTCCGATTCATCTGAGCAGTGGCCTTGGGACGAGTAGCTTGCTGCCCGAATCGTCTGTCCTTCCTCCTTCCTGGGCCCCAGCGCGCTGTGCACGGATTGTGTGACGAACAATTCACTCAAACCTGATCCCTGTAGGGCCGCCGTGCACTGTCCGTTCGTTTCCAAGAATAACCGATGTACCAGCAGAGCCCGTTATTCACCGAGCGCGTTCCACTACTCGCAAACGCCCGAAAACCACATGTCTGCCTCGATGTAATTTATCGTAGATCGCCCGCGGCGGATCCAGTCCATTTGCGAGCAGCCACTTTGCGAGTAGGAAAGCGCGCTCGTCTAGTTATTGCCCGCCCTGGCGCTGCGGCGGTGGAGCGATTCGCCCTGGGCCCGCGTAGCGGGCGAGCACCAGGCGAGACCTTTTGCGCACCCCACCTACGGTACATCGACAAAATGTTGCACCACCTGGTGGTGTCAAGAAAGCAAGCCGATTTTGCAATGGATGTTCGCTTCCACCCCCCCCCTCCCCCCAATCTCAACATTGGCTGCGGTCCCGGGTTCATCGAAACGGCTCGGTGGTGCAACATTCTGTCGCGAGCCCTGGGGGGGGCGCCAAGGGACCTTTGCCATGTGCCCAATATTAAGATCAGGGGGAGGGGCGGGGAGGAGCAGTGCAACATAGCTGACAAGGCGCGGCACAAGTGGTGCAACATCTCGTCGACGTACGGTAGCGCCAGAGGCGCCCGCGGGCGAGCACCGGGCGACTCCCTCCGACGGGGCGCCCACCGACCGGGCGCCGCGGCTGTCCACGGGCGGGCGCCGGGCGAAAGCGCACGAGGCGGCCACAATGGCGCCCGCGGGCGCCCACCGACCGAGCACCGGCCCCCAAACTCGGGCCGGGGGAAAGGGGGGGATTGGGAAAGGGGGGGTACGAAATTTGCTGCACGCAGCTGGTTTCGGCCTCACCGAGGGGCCCATTCCTCGATACATGGGCGCCTCCGGCGCCGGGAGGCGCCGGGAAAGTCAGCTACGTGAGCTGATTCTCAAACCCCCCCTTTGCTATCCCCCCCTTTCGCCCGACCCGACAAACGGAGCGCCCAACCTATGGCCTTAGTTTGTCCAAGGAAGAGGCCCCTAAGTCCAAGCATGATTCGGGGGAAGGAACACGAGAGACAGTGTCCAAATCTTCCCGCCCGCCACGGCGATCCACGACCTCTCTCGGGCCCGATGCCCGATCGTTCGACCAACATCACAGCAAGGGGAGTGGCCCAACCCTCGCCACAAGAGGGTGGATCCCCGAGGGGAACGAAACTCTTGGACACCGTCTTGGCATCGCTCGGACGTGGGCATTTTTCTCGGCGAGGACCATCGAGGAACATCCTTGATCATGTGGCGAAAAATCACGCACGAAACCGAACAAAAATACAGGGAATGGACGTCAGAGCGATGGCCAGCCGTTGAGTTCCCCTGGGACCGAGTTTTCCATCCAGAGCAGTTCGCTGACGGCCCCCCTGCGGGGTCCAGGGAGAAGGAGTCCCGAGAGGCCGAGGGCAGCGAGCAGAATGCAGAATGCAGTCGGGCACCTCTCTCTACGGGAGGAGTCTGCAAGTCTAGTAGAAAGTCTGGGGACAATTTTTTGATTCTGTGTCGGCTACTTGCGAGTTTGTTTGACTATTTCCCTTTTTCGTCCAAAATCCGCATGCAGGAGGACACGCCCGACCTGAATTCAGTACCGTTTTCCCTCCAGACTGCCTCTCTTCGCTGCTGCACCCTGGAGGCGGGCCGGGGGGGGCTCTCAGGCCTCGGGGTGGGGGCCGGGTGGCCACCAGCGGGCAGGGTCGGGAGGGTCGGCGCACGCGCAGGGGCAGAGGCGGGAGCAGGGTTGGGGGCGGGGGGGGAAGAGGTACGGAGGCAGGGAGGGGCAGCGCGTAGCATGGGAGCATCAATGGAGAGCCAAGCACACATTCCACCCGCTGCAGCTTGAGAGCAAGCAACACGGACGGCTCCACAGCATATCGGCTCAGTTTTAGCTGTTCAATGCAGGCTGGAGGCAGCAGCGTCAGCTTCAGCCTGTATCTCAGTAGACTAGTTTGGGCACGGTGGCGGTAGACCCTTCAAGCAGCACCTGCGTATCACCAATTTCCGCGATTTCATACAGAAAGGAATGACGTGGACGGACCTTTATTTTCACGGGCATTGTTTGCGCAATTTGCTCGTTTATTATTCTTGCGGTTTACCAGTATTGATTGGTTTGTTCCGGAGCTCATCCTCGCCTTTCAAAGTTGCAGCTTTTGATGCAGCGACTCACGTGTTGGCGATACCGATTTACGTTTCTATGGTCTACGTTTCCGCAACAGTCTGGTTTGCTGCAGATGGTGCGTCCTCATTCCCCAGTCGTTTGCACGGTGCCCACTCGCCTGTCTGCACTTGGTTGATTACCTTCACACTCGTGTATTTGTCGATTGAGCTCATACTGAAAGCAATGCTTCAGATTTGGGAAGGGAGGATTGTCCCAAAGGGCCAAGAAATTATCCAGTATCTGCATCACATTTGCACTATCCTTCTCTGCATTCATTGTCTGTCGTACGCATTTTTGCATTATTACGCCATGTTCTATATCGGGATTTCTGAAGGTTCTTCGATACCACTGGGCTTCATGAACCTGTTCAAGATGTCCCCAACATTGGCCGCGAAATACCCGACGCTGAATACTGCAGTAAGTTTGTGTTTTTGCTGTTCGTTTCTCCTCATTCGCGTCGTTTGGTGGATGAAAGTCAACTTGATGTATTGGGTGGACATGGCCCCACTTGTAGGAAGTGCAAACGAAGCTGCTCGAAGTGGGGTGCCATTGGTACACATATACTTGTGGTTCTTTGCCAACATTTTCTTGACAGCCATGCAGTTATACTGGGCATGGAAAGTGGTGAAAGGCATACTTCGACATGCCAAGCGCAAGCCACGAGCCGATTGAGAGAGGTGCGATCTGGCTGAGGCGTCGAAGCTCTTCACGCGAATACAATTTTCTCCCCAAGTTTGCACATCTTCGCAGCCGCTTGAACGCCGCTCGGCTCTGTGCGACTGAAATGCTCACAGTTCTTGGAAAAAGGCAGCAGGTGCCCAGTCCTCTAGGAGACTCTAGGAGGCCAACGCCATCTCAGTGCAAGCGCTGCTCGAGGAACCCATCAGGTTTGCGCAAGTCTGGCCCGCCCAGGGCCACTCCGCCTTGCATTGGCGGCGCGCCGAGGGAGGAAGTGAGACGGGGCAGGCCTTCTCACAAGGCGGCGTGGCTTCTCGGAAGCCCTCTGGCCTTCTGATCTGCCTTCGTTTGGCATCGCTCGGACGTGTGCATTTTGTCTCGGCGAGGGCCATCGAGGAGCATCCTGGATCATTTAGCCAAACAAGCACGCACGAAACCGAACATGCACGGGGAATAGACGTCCGAGCGATTGCAAGCTCGGAGAAGGCGTAGGAAGCCTCTCAGAAGGCCGGAGGCCATCCGAGCTTTCTGAGAGGGTCCGCCTCCTCTGCATCCCCCCTGGCGCGCCGCCAAATTCAGACCCGCCCAGCCTTGCCAGGTCACGTCGCGACAGGCGTCCCAGACGGCCCAATAGCCTTTCAAGGTGCCCCCAAGCGCGCCCCAAGAGGACCTGAAGAGGGCCCCGAGGCAAAATTCGCCGCACAGCAACAGCAAGATGCACAGCCTTGGCGGCCTCGCCGTGTTGGTCCATGACGAATCCAGCCCCTCGTGTGCCCATCACCAGCCTCGAACTTATCCCTATCCCTAAGATTGACACGCCAAAAGGCGATGACAATCTCAGGGATGCGCCCTGAAAAACTAAGGGAACCCCGAAGATTGGCATTGTGATGAGGCGATGCCCAGCTTAGGAATAGGGATCTGTTCCAGGCTGGCAAGCCCAGGCCCGCACCATCCCAGCGGGGGGTCGCCGCAGCGAGCAGGGAAGCACACGTCCTGCGGGGGCTCTGCTTCGGCTCGGGGAGGCGGAGGAGGAGGAGGACGACGAGGAGGAGGACGAGGAGGAGGAGGAGGAGGAGGACGAGGAGGAGGAGGAGGAGGACGAGGAGGAGGAGGAGGAGGAGGAGGAGGAGGAGAGCGCTGCTGCATCCTGCCAGGGCGCTGCGCAGGCCGAGATGGGGGCGGCCGCTCCAGGCCTCCGGCGCCGTGCAGTGCGCTGTCCATCCGCGAGAGCCCCGCGGAGGTCTCGCCGCCTGCCCTTGGGCTCACGTCGGGCCGGTCCCCTTGGAGGGGGACTTCCGACAAAACATAGAAAATACCCCCAAACATTGTA